TTATTATTATTATTATTAATGTCAAGCCCAAGGGGAAAAAAGACTTTTCAAAACAAACACATAGCAGTGAATGTCAAAGTTGTTGATGGTGTTGTTGGTGCCAAAACAGTAAAACTTCACTGTAAAAATCGTGAGATATCACACCAACTGTAAAAATCTGAATAAAAATAATACAATGGGATATTTAAAAAATAAAAAATGAAACAAATCGAAATAAAACTAATAAAATGGAATATTACTAACTATCAACTAACTTTGATTTAAAACTATCTACAAATGTTGTATTCACAATATCCTGAGGAAGACAGTTCTATTCATTGATTGTTTGTGGGAAGAAAGAAAACTTAAAAATATCTTTCTTTGCTCTAGAACTATAAACTTAAAAGGGCTCCAACGGGTTCTTCGTTCATCATTTTGTTTTAGGTGGGCTTCTACTAAAAAATCTGTGAGACTGTGTGAGAATTTATACATAAAAGATAGTTGATGTTGAGGTAAGAAATATGTCGGCACAATCTATTGGCATTATAAGCGGGTAACTAACCAATTTGCCCCTCAGTGGCAATGCATAACCTCAGATCCTTTCATACTTAATAGTGTGAGTTTGAGAATTGAGATGCTGCTGAAAGAAATACACTTTCCACAACAAGAGCAGGAGGTCAATGACAAGGAAATTGACAAGCTGCTGATTAAAGGTGTTATTTCAGAAACTACACATTGTCCTGGTAAATACATTTCTACTATATTTGTATGCCCTAGGAAAGATGAGGAGTATAGATTAATTCTTAATTTGAAGAATTTGAATGAACATGTGGAGCACCAGCATTTTAAGATGGATACCCTAGAATCAGCAATTGGGCCTATGACTCCCAATGGGCGTGCCAATTCACGATGAAGAGAAACAATTTTTGAGGTTTTGCTGGAAAGGTTGATTGTTTCAGTTCACCAGCTTACCAAATGATCTGGCTTGTGCACCCAGACTCTTTACAAACTTTTTTTAAGCTAGTGTATGCTATGCTACACCAGAAGGGTCAATTGAATGTTGGCTACATTGATGACTCTTATGTCCATGTACAGTTCAAGGGGAGAGCACTGAGGACTGGCAAGCCAATATTAATGATACTTGTGATTTATTCACAAAGTTGGGTTTTATTTTACTGCTGGTGAAGTCAGTCCTAAAGTCATTTCAATTCCTTATAATATTTCTGGGATTGGTCTTGGACTCAGTTAATATGACTGTCTCCCTAATACAGGAAAAGATCCAGTGCATTAGGGAAAGTTGCAAGAAAATGATGGAACTCATTGAACTACCAATCCAGAACAAGCAAGCTTTATAGGCCCGCTCGTATCAAGTTTCCCTGGGGTCTTATCTAGACTACTGTTTTATAGACACCTTGAGATGGACAAAACTACTGCCTTGACACAAAGTAAAGGCAATTACATTGCTCAAATGAGAAAGCATTTCAGAGATAAAGCGGTGGCATGATAACATACCAACTGTCAACTACCCCATATTATTGACTAATTGAAAGGTTCGTGTAATCATTTATACTGATGCATCAACTAAAGGATGGGGGACAGTTTGGACTTTAGACATTTTGCAAAAAATAATGAGCAAGGCATCCATGTTCAGATTTACTCAGATAACTCTAAAACTGTGAACTGTATTAATGCTATGGGGGTATACATCCTAGAGAATGTAATACTATTGCTAAAGATATTTGACAATGGTGCATAGATAAACAAATATGGTTGACAGCTCCGCATATTCCAGGGACAAAAAAATGTTGAGGCAGACTGAGAATCTCATGTTTTCTCAGACAACAAGGAATGGATGATAAGACCTGACATTTTCCAGCAGATTACAGAAATCTGTGGGGAGCCCTCCATAGATCTCTTTGCATCCAGACTAAATCACCAGGTCTCATGTTATGTATCTTGGAAAACAAATCCAGGGGCAGCTTTTATTGATAATTTTTCATTAAAATTGGATGTCTTTTATGCAATTTGTATTCACCTTCACTGTAAATATGTCACCTGAGCACCCTGCTGACCCACCATTGCAGGATTAAGCATTACACTAATTAAAGTTAAAGTGAAAGATAAACAGTTTTTCTATGCTTCCCCCTGCCCCTTTCAGTTTAATTGCCAGATGTCTACAGAAGATACAGATGGATTAGGCAGAAAGCTTCATGATATTTCCAATGTGGCTAAGCCAAAGTTGGTACCCCAAACTTCCTTGCATGTTAGTGGATGTCCCATGAGTAATACGATCACAATGGACTGCCTTGCAAATCCCAGGGATGAAACAAGAAGTTCACCCCTTAATCAAGAAAATGGTTCCGATTGTTTGCAGATTGTCTAGCATTCCTATGAGACACGGGGATTTTCTCATAAGGCAGCCTCTTTTATCTTACAGTTCTGAAGGAAAGGAAATACTAAGCAGTACTCCTACTACATCAAATGATGGCCTACATATTGTCATCAAAAACAGATTGATCCAGTTTTTGCCACTGTTCCCCAGTAGCTAAATATTTCAGTGGAGTTATTTGAGTTGGGCATTGGTTACTGCGGCATTAGCACTGTGAGGTCTGTTCTATCCAGTCTCATAAAACCCGTTGACAGGATAACATTTGGAGCACAAGAAAGTGTAAAAAGGTTAGTGTGAGGAGTTTATGAAGCAGGACCCTCCAACACAAGATATGCTGAGACATGGGATGTTAGCAAGGTCCTGAACTACCTTAGGTCAATCTCAACAATAGACTGCTCTCTAAAGGATCTGACATTAAAATTAGCCTCCTTAATGCCACTGGAATCAGCTCAACGGGGGCAAACTATTCCCTACTTGTCGCTGGAAGATATGGTTGTTACTGAAACTTCTGTGACTTTTATCATTTCCAGACTTATAAAACAATCTAGGCAGACTGATTAAAAAACATCGCTGTTGTAACGTTTGCAGCATACCCAGAAAACTCCCACATTTGTGACCGTGAACGGGAAAACGTACCTTAACG